ACTTATATGTCAAGAGGACAGTAGGAGCCTTAAAGATCTAGAAAGGATTTCAAGATTTAATCAAGAGTAAAACCTGAGTTTTATCACTAGCACACGACTTAAGGTTTGCGACCTATTAAGTTGACATAATTCTTGTTTCTGTGTCTGTTCTTATTAACTTGACTATGCATGTGAGTTTTGTTAGTTCTAAACTATGTGCATAACAACTTGGAAGCATTGGTGGGCCTTGTACTACCAGATGACAAGAAATTAAGATTGAACAAGTTCAATCCATGTAAGGTTGAATTTGTCACTAATCTTGTCTTGTGATTATGGTTTTGACAAATTCACATGGATAGAAACTCATACACCATAAAATCTAAGTGTCATAAGGTTTCTCTCCGATTCATGAGAATGATGGTGAGGAAACGCTTTCTCTAAGTAGATTTTAAGTAGATAGCAATTGTGTTGTTTGCATTTTCAAAGTCTTTAGTGGAGTGTGTGTGGTTAACCGGCACACTAACATGGACTTGTGAGAAATGGCAAATGTCTAAACACTTGAGAGTATGATTACGACATCCTTTTTCATAGTTCTTGAAATTGTTTAGACACACATGTGAGCTATCTAAGGAAGGGTGTATGAATCTAAATTTTAGAAGTCCGACCGATTTCTGAATACATGTCAAAGCTAGTGGGAGCATAAGTGTTATGTTAATAATCATCATGTTAGTGGGAGCATGATAATTATGATTATTATGATTGCAAGCTAGCAATGTTAATTATAGAAAAACAAAAGTTTCAATTCGTGAAGTTGTAGGGGTTGAAAAATTGTTTTGCTATAATTAAGGGAGAAGAAATTCTACTTCAATTCGATTCTAAAAGCTTAGATTGAGATTTTAATCATCTTTAGTCAAGGACATATCTATATATATATATATATATATATATATATATATATATATATATATATATATATATATATATTGCGTTATCAAAATTCGATTATGATTACGGCATTCCCCTTCATAGTTAAATTTTGAAAACATGGCCAATAAAAAATATTGTAGCAAAAGACTGGTCTAGTATCATGTCTTTATGTGAGACATCATGAATCGTGTCCTATATGCTTCAAATATAGGATCGATTCATGTGCTATAATATTCATCCTTTCTAAATTTTCCAAATGCTTAGGGCATTAAGAAGAGAAAAATCTAGAACGGGATATAACTAAAGTGATTAAGAAATTGTCGAGGACAGTCTGAGGTTCGCCAAAGATTGGTTGCTCAGGGACAGTTGAAAGTATGATATAAATTGTTGGAAATGATCATATTGACATATTCTGAAAAGAGGTAACTCTTGTTCAGAAGTGATAGTCAAAATGGGACTATGGAAATGTCTCCATAGGTGGAAGTTATTCAATTTGTGTAAGATTAGAAAACCTTAATGCAAGAAGGATGTTCAAAGCAATTTACTTTGAATATGAGACTTCGTTTCCATAGATATGATTTTCTTTGGAATACTCTATAATGACTATTGACAAGTTTTGTGACTATGTGCATAATCATTACAAGAAGAACATTGCATAAAAATTTAGAATCTAAATTTTTTTTGGTAAATGGTAGGAATTAGGAATTCTTACATTTACAATAAGGATTTGGGATTGTGAAATGAGCATCATTGGAATCATGTTCAATTGATCTTTTTCACAAAAGTAAAGATCATAGACAAACCTAGTATGCATACTTGGAGTATGGCATAAATGTTGTTTAGAAAACACAGTGTACGTGCTTGGAGCATGGGACAACTGCTGTTTCAATTCAAGTATAAGTTGGTTATTTGAAACATTATGCAATGAATAATGTGTAATCAATGTGGTGATAAATAAAAGGTGTTATATTTATGCTCAAAAGGGTTCTGAGACCACACTGGATTTGATTATTATTGTGTTTCACTTTGCATGTTTTGACTTCCAAAATAGTTGCGTTATTCTGTCCGAATGACTAAGTTAATTAAACAATCCACAGTCGATCATATGTCGGAAGTAGGTATGAATTAAGACTGTCATGAATTGAGCTTGTAGATGGCTAAAGGTGTTTAGATATAGCAATGGTTGCTACAACATTCATGAGTGCTCATAAGTTATGAGTATTGGAATTAACCAACGCTCACTTATATGACTTCATGGAATTTATCTTGAGTGATCGTGAGACAATAATATCATATAAGTCTTCAAACCTAGAGATATGAGTTGTTACCTATGAGTTCGTTGTGCATTGATTGCACGTAAACGCATCAGTAACTTGATGTTATAAAACGTGCCTTTATGTACAATTCAACAAGTAGTAGAAAAAGCATAGGAGTCGAAGTTTATCTGTTCCTTCTAGAAATAGAAGCGATATCTGGGCCCCTCGATGATTTTGTGTTGACCTATGTACTGGGCTCCACTACAAGAAAAATAGCCTTTTACGATGCGTAAACCACGATACTCATTGATTTATGTTACGCAATGGAGAGTAACGTTTAAAAAGTGTCATCTCTTCAAAAAATTTAAGGATTTAGGTCACGCATTATTGCGTGCCCTTAAATTAGCGTCATACGAGAAAAAAATTAAAAACATGGAGGGCGCTATATCTTAAATGGGCATCCTCTTTGAGTGTCGCTTTATAATTTTAATGAAAAGCGCGTTTAGTAGATAGGGGGAAAATGAAATCCCTAAAATTTTGAACACCCGCCTTCTTTTTTATCCTCCACTTTTGTTTCCTTCTTGCCCTAATTACGATCCTTTCTTCTCCTTCCATAGATTCGATTCGACTGCCGCCTTGCCTAGTTATCGACACTCCTTCCTTCATTCCTCACTTGCCTTCTTCGCCTGACAATATCTCAAGAAGTACAACTCTGAAAGCGTACAAGTCAGACTTATGTGTCGGAACTCCGGTAGACTGAAATTCAGGCAACATGTAGCCTCGTGTGCCCTAGAATTTCACGAATCTTGAACTTGGCTTACTTGAATCTCGTTCCAAGCTGCTATCGATTTCGCCACTAGGTTTGGCCATTCCAAATTCGCATATTTTCGCGTTGAGTGACTATGATTGGGTTACAATTATGCTTGAGCCGACGATTGGGTTACAATTATGCTTGAAAGTGTGAAGAACTTACATGCTCCATCTACTTCTATCCTAGAGTCGATGATTTAGGGCCTTATAGCTTCTCATCCCACACAGCGCCGACGATTCAGGGCCTTACAAGCCCTAGCTCGGATTGAACTAAGGTATGCTTTACTGAGCATGATTTTTCATGATTTTTTGTTCTGCTTATAAGCCCTAGGTCCGATTTCAAGAAATATCTCATTCTATTCAATGAAGTAGGTCTGATTCTTCTCTTCTGGTTGCACTAAGGTATGTTGTGCTTACCGTTATTCATCTAGTCTATTCTTCTTCTTCTTCTTCTTCTTCCCTGGCATCTTAATGTTTCGTGTAACACCTACAATTTCTTCACTCTTGGAACACGTACAATTTCTTCACTTATTCTTCTTCTTCTTCCCTGATATCTTAAGCCATATTAGAACCCTAATTCCAGAAGAATCCGATTGGTTTTATAATATTTCATACATCTTTTCTGATGTTTTTACTGATTTGTTTCTATGAAAACAACAAATGAAATGGGTCTAGGAAAAACCATTGAGCTGCTTGCTTGTATATTTGCACAATAGAAAATCGGACATACATGTTGATGATATAAGAAACAAGACAATACAAGTTGTTGCTGGAGAGCATAAATGTAACATCAAAAGAATGAAGAAAGAGCGTATGTGTGGGGCTGTAAGTGAAATCTCAAAGTCTAAAGTTTTTTTGGGTACAATGTGATGTCTGTGATGCTTGGCGACATGCAAATTGTGTAGGCTATCCATATAAAGAAGAAAATTCAGAACCAATAAAAGATTCAGAAAATCTGAATGGTGATTCAAGAAAACGCAAAAGTTAAGGCTCCAAAATCGTTATCTATGATGGGGCCCAAATTTGTCCATTTTGCTTAGAACTGAGTCAAGCAACCGGTTCCCCTGTTCCTATTGGTTCAACTTTTGTAGTATGTCCACCACCAATATTGTCATAGTGACATGCTAAAATAACTCGGTAAACCTCAACTATTACTATTTATTGATTCAACTTTATTGTACATATGCATGCTCCTTCATGTAAATGGTTTATTTCTTTTTGCAGTAATACAAGTCCAGGTTCACAAAAAAAATTTGTGTATGAAGGAGTCAAACACATGACCTTTTCCATTTGCTTTTGATTGGTTGAAGTTTGGTTCGGTAGCAGATTTGTGCTAGGTTATAGGTACATTGCTTTAATTTGATGCTTATGTTGTGTGTGATTTTTTCAATTTCCTTTTAGCTGTCTCTGATTTGCATTTATACTTGCTACGAAATAAAATGATAACTGTTCTCTTATAATTACTTGAGTTCTTAGTCATGTTTGAGACTTTCGATTTCACAGGTTGTATCTAATTGTAGCTGTGAGAATGCTTAGGTTTTCATTACATATAGACCATGATAATATCTAACAAAATTGAATTTTTTCATATTAGATTAATGATACATTGAATATGAGTAGTGACTTGAGCATACTTATCTTTTTGCACTGAATCATACTCCTTCTGGAACGTTGCTTCTGAATCTTTTCATAAAAATTGTGAACATTTAATCATGGGGAAAATAATCTTGACTCATTACTTGTTGGTCCTATTGACATGCTCTACAAGTGATGGAAAAAGAGATTGAATGAAAAAATGATTTATGGAATCCAGGGACTTTTAAGTTTTGAGGTTACACTGTTTCAATTTTCACTGCACAAAACTTACATGTTGCAATAGCCACATCTAATGGAATTAAGTGGTATTTACTTTTTACTAATTAGTAATTACTGTCTAATTATTTATTATTTTCTTTATTCAATAAATAAAAATCATTCATCTCAGGTATAAATTTATGGGGCCAGATTTGCTAGAAGACAACACAGACAATGTGTAGGAACCCCAGAGGTATAAATTTTAATTTATTTTAAATGGTTTATGGGTATTTTGGTAATTTGATGATACATATAGGTTCAGGAAGTTTTGGATGAAATTGGTGATCCTTCTAGACCATTAAGTGTTATTACAAAAGTTGCAAAGATACAACTTTTGTATATACAATGGATAAAGTGATTCTTGGAAATAGGTGGTTGAGAAAAGCCACTGGAATTCAACCCAAATTCACATTTGTGGTTGACTCATTTGAGAAAAGGTAATGAGGGTATTTATGTCTTTTGCTTCTTATTGACATAATACAAATACAATATGTTTATATTGTTGCAGGAGTGCAACTTCTTTTCAAAGGGCACCTATGTTACCTCATGGTGGAGTTCCTGATTCCGATTCTAATTCCGACAACAAACAACTCTAGCTTTATATGTAAGAGTGAGCATAAACGGGTACTCGACCAAATTTGTTGGAACCGGAACCGGCGGTTCCTAGGATTTTGGAACTGGAACCGGAATCGGTTAAATTGGTTCCTAAGATTTTAGAACCGCTCCCGGAACTGTCGGAACCGGTTCCGGTTTCGGGTACCCGGTGTCTAATTAAAAAACCAATATAATTACAAACCTTTTATTATAGAGTTTTTTTTGTCCTGTTGTAGACCTTCGTTGGGTATAACTTATATCACGTTTGGTTTTTTTCCTATTAATAGCTATATACGTGATGAAACGGTAAAAAATAGATGACATAAGCCATAGAAGCTAAACAAATATTTTCTACAAATTTGTTGTAGAACCAAAATTACATAACTAAATTCTGGAAATACATAGTTAATTCGCACAATACATTTTTATCTAATTTATACAAAATTTTATAATTCAGGCACAGTGCATTGTTAGTCTCGTATATAAAAATATTCAATTTAGTGTAGTGAGGTATGTTAATATTTAAAAAGAACAGTAGGTACATGTAGCTTTGTAAATCTAACAAACATTAAGAATTTTAGAACATTTCATATATATATATATATATATATATATATATATATATATATATATATATATATATATATATATATATATATATATATATATATATATATATATATATATATATATATAACCCACAATAATAACTCTTGTTCCCTTGTGAGTGTCCTAAGAGTAAGGAGGTGAGATTTCATAAAACAGGTCTTGGAATGGCGTATACCCTTTTTTATCATAATTTTTTGTTTTATGTCTTATGTAATAAGTGTGACACATTTACTGATATTAATATCTCCGTGAAGGCTCGGAGCGCATTTTGGTCACTGAAAGGCATTATATGGCTTCAAGCAGTTGTTCGTGGTCAAATAGTCAGGTTTTCCGGAAATTTCCCTCAAATGCTTCAAAAAAACCTCTGCAAGAACATTCGGTACATCATCCTTTTTGTTTAGTTCTATTTAATTATCGTTCTTCTCATACAATATCTTCCCCCTTTTTTTTTTACTTCAATTTGTTCCATTACACATCTTTACTAATATTGTTTGTATTGGAATTAGGATTCCTAAAATTGTGTAATATTTTTATAGTACATTTTTGTAATACAAGGAAACAAAACTGGATGCAAAACAAATATATAAAAGTATATTACTTTTTTTTTGTATTCAACCTTAAGTTCATGGATAAAATAAAACAAATTTATATAATTTGGGACACATACAAAAAAGTATATATATTACTAACTAACTATATTTCTCATTGAGTTTGATATCTCTGCTTTTCTGATGAGCCTTCAACTTTTTCCATCCAAAAAGCGATTAAGCGATATCTCACCTCATATGAACCATAACCAATAAATATACACTTTTATCTTAAATATGAACCTTAACTATGTTCCAATTAAATGTGGGAGTCGTGTTGTACTTATGATTAACGGGTATGCAATGTAATCTCTCTTGCTTAGTTGCTTCTTGCCCTTTGATAAGTGGTGTCTTACCCTATACATTAACATTTTAAGGGAAGTCAGAACTTAGAAGCTATCTATATGCATATGGTTTTATCTTTTTCAAAGTAAATAAGATTGCTAATTATGTATTTCTTTTTCACAAATTGGATTTGTGATTTGAAAATTGTAAATCTCAGATTAGGGGGGCACTTGTAATCGAACTGATGATTGCTGCTGGAAAGGTTGTTCCTATTTTACAGCTGGAACATGGAGTAGCTGTTGTTACAGTGCATGCAGGGTCATTCATGACTTCTCTTGATATAGGAGGTTTGTTAAGTTCATTTTGTTTTCTGATGCAAAAAAAGTGGCTAATATCTTTGTGTTGTGTTGTGGTGTAGGGTTTTCAATTATCTACAATTAAGGCAGATCAAGCAATTCTGCAATGCCTGGATGTTGCAGCTAAGGCTCCGCATTAGCCTATTGGTGTTGATGGTTGGTAATTCCACCTGGCCTCGTTAAGGTAACAACATATCTGTTGTTCAAACTTCAAAACCCTACTTGAATTTATATCCCATTCATCATCTAGAAACTAGTTTCAATTAGAAACCATGTCAACTTATTCAAGTTAGTTGGCATAATTGCCCTATGTAGAAGGAATTCATATGATAATAGCCTTCTGGACGTGTATGTCAAGCTCATAGATAATAGCCTTCTAGATGTGTATGTCATCATATTACATCCTCCAAATACTACCTTAACATATATTAGTTTTTTTTTTTTTTTTTTTTTTTGCAACTCTCAATCTGATCTGGAAGCTAATTTGTTTAAGGTATATATCTATATATATATATATATATATATATATATATATATATATATATATATATATATATATATCCCTGTTATCTCCATTATAGTCATGTCTGAGTTTTTACAGTATACCCTCCCCATCCGTATCATTATAAATACTATGTTTTGTTTTGAAAATGAACTTGCCTCTACAATGGATGTTGCTCTTGGGATTTTGATTATTGAGTAAAGACTTGGAGTTGAATTTTATTTAAATCTTGCAGCATTATCAACAAGATGTAGTAAAGACTTGGAGTTGAATTTGGCTAAGTCATTATTGAGTGAGATGGGCCAATGTACAACTGCTTATCCATATAATCAGTTGTTTGGAGCATTAGTCTTAAAGAATTATGAAAGGCAAGATGCAACTTTAGTTAGTTGGAATTTGATGTACATAGTAGATTAGATGCAAATTTATATATTGTAAGAAATAGAATTGTATGACATTAAATTTATGCAATGGATTCTATTTTTTGTATATGAAATTTTATTTTCTATTATGAAACATTAAATACAAATTTATTTTGAAAATAAGTAAATCTATAAATAATATTTTTTTTAAACATTTAAAATTATCATACGCAAAAATCTGTGTCATCTTCATTTATGATATGGCCTTTCTTGACAGGGGCTTTCTTGATACGCATTGCATGTCATTAACATGCGCGTCGTAAGGTTACGACACGCAAATGCGTGTCGGCTTCCTTTATGACATGGCCTTCCTTGATACGCATTGCGTGTCGTAACTGCGCATCGTAAATGCGCGTCGTCTCTCTTTATGACAGGGCCTTCCTTGACGCGCATTTGCGCGTCGTCTGAGCCTTTTACGATGCGCAATGAGCGTCGTAAAAGGCTGTTTTTCTAGTAGTGCTCGGTCATAACTAAGTTGATGTGTTCAATTAATTTCTTTGTCAAACAAATCGGAAATCGGGAAACAAACTGCTGGAAAATAAGTACGTCGTTGTTCCATGTATTTGTCCGGCTGATATCATGAGAACAGAGGATTATAAGATCACTTATATTAAATGGCGCTTCATAGTTCAACAGAGTTTTCGAGAGCTACGATTGCTGGTTGGTTCCTGAAGTAATATACACAAATATAGTTATTAGACTTATCCAAGTGGGAGACTGTTGGATAGGGTGTCTAAGTCCATAACTTATTTGGTATATACTTGACCCGACCCGACATGGTCCATTTGGGTTGCACTTCACCCGAACAATTTATATGGATAATCTTATGAGAATAGTATGTTTATGATTTATTAATATATTATAAGTTATAATATATTAATATGAAGTCATGTTATTTAATTAGTTTTAGTCTTAAATTAATTATGAATTAATTTAGTGATTCAAAGGAAGACTAATTAAACATGGGCTGTTGCATTTTATATAATGTGGGCTTAAACTCATTAGGAATGGGCTAAGCATGCATGGGGGTCCATGGATGATCCATGGAGCTTTTAACCAATGGATCCTTGGAAAGGAAAAGACATGGGTTATTAGGGTTTACCATAATCCTCCACACTATATAAAGATGCACATATTGCAAGAAATGGCAACTAGTTGTGTGAGACTTTGTGGTGGCCGATTTCTACATCGCATATTATTCTCTCAAGGTTTTTCCAAGTTTGTGGTGATTTGTGATTCCACTTGAGGCATTCACATTATTGGTTCTAGGATTTCAAACTCCAAGCATTCAATCACTATCAAAAGGTATGTCATTCTTCAAGTGTTTTATGATTCTAGTTCTTCATGCCATGTTAGTTAGGATGTAAACATTGGAAATTATTATTTGCATGTACTTTAGAGAAACATAGATCTAAGGTTTATTAGGGTTGCATGTACACTTAGGAGTGTTAGAATGCTCAAAACCCAATAGTTTGTCATCCACATACAGTACAAAAAGCTAACTATACTCCCACTAGCCTTGACATATACACAAGATTCATCTTCACTCCTCGAAAAGCCAAACTCCTTGACTTTCTCATCGAAACAAAGATTCCATCTACGAGGTGCTTGTTTCAATCCATAGATGGATTTCTCAAGCTTACACACTCTGTAAGGGTACTCTGTACTAACAAAACCCTCTGTCTGACTCATGTAAACATCCTCAGCCAACTTTCCATTAAGAAAAGTGGTTTTGACATCCATTATCCATATTTCATAGTCATGAAATACAAAAATGGCTAACATAACCCTAATAGACTTAATCTTTGCTACCATTGAAAAGGTTTCATCATAATCAACTCCCGGAGTTTGACAAAAGCCCTTTGCAACCAACCGCACCTTATAAGTGTGTACATTACCATCCATGTCGGTCTTCTTATTGAAGATCCATTTTCACCCAACTGTCTTGCGACCTGGTACTTTGTCAACCAAGTTCCAAACTTGATTGTCATTCATTGACTATATCTCGCTATCCATTGCCTTTTTCCATTTAGCAGACTCGGGGCCTGCCATGGCTTCCGCATAGTTGTTAGGTTCATCCAGACTCACCAGTGTCCCATCACTGATAAGTGTATCACCTTCCGAAGTAATATGAAAACCATAGTAATGCTCAGGTGCATTCCTAAATCTCGTGGAGCGCCTCAGAGGTACTGACTTGTCAATTGGATCAACAGGAGTTTCTTCCTCAGGTTGACAGCTAGGGTTTGAAGTTCCTTTACCAGTTGACTATTGAATTTCTCCGAGGTTAATTTTCCTCCCACTGTTTCCTTAGCATATGAACTTTCTCTCTTGAAAGACAACCCTCCCTTCTACAAAGACCACATTCTTACTGGGTCTGTAGAAGAGGTAACCAAAGGATTTGTGTTGGTAGCTGATGAAAATACACCTCTCACATCAAGGATTGAGCTTATCGTGAGTCTTACGTCTCATGAAAGCCTCGCAACCCCAAATATTGATGTGGTTTAGATTAGGAAGTTTTCCAGTCCACATCTCATGAGGAGTTTTGGCAACTTTCTTTGTAGGGACTAGATTAAGGATATGAGCGAAAGTCTCTAAGGCTTACCCCCAGAATGAGATTGGTAGCAAAGCTCGAATCATCATGGAACAAACCATGTCCAACAAGGTTCGATTACGCCTCTCAGCCACACCATTAAACTGTGGTGTCCCTGGAGGTGTTAGTTGTGAGACAATCCAACATTCCTTAAGATAGTCGAGGAACTCTATACTAAGATACTCACCACCTCGATCTGATCGAAGCATCTTAATGTTCCTGCTCAATTGGTTCTTGACTTCTTGTTTATAATATTTAAACCTTTCAAAAGTCTCTTAATTATGCTTGATTAAGTAGACATAACCCTATCCACTAAAATCATCGGTAAAAGTCACATAATACCAATTAGCAACCCTTGTGGCAGTTTTGAAGGGTCCACACACATCTGTGTGCACTAGATCCAACAAACCTTCACCCCTTGCACAAGAACTAGTAAAGGGTGACTTTCTTATTTTTCCAAGTAAGCATGACTCCAGCTATCATCTGAATTTATGTCAAATGACTCCAAGACTCCATCCTTTTGGAGTTGGCCTATTCGTTTCTTGCTTACATGTCTAGGACGACAATGCCATAATGATGCTTTATCCAAGTTATTATTATTAGAAGAATCAATACACAACACATTATTTTCTAGGTTATCTACAATAGACACAGCTTCATACACACCATCACAAGGTAATGCTTCAAAATAAAGAACATTATTAAAGAAAGCATTTATTCTACCAACTTCATTGCTAAAAGAAAAGGTAAACCCTTGTTTGTATAAAGCGTGAAAGGAAATAATATTTCTTTCCATTTCAGGCGAGTAACGACATTTATTCAAATCTAATATAAACCCACTACATAGCACCAAAGAATAAACTCCAATCTTGGTGATATGTGAAGCTTTCCTGTTCCCCATGATCAAGTTTATCTTTCCAAGCTCCACATTCTCACTTCTTTTTAGTCCCTGAAAATTAGAACATATGAATTCCACAACCTGTATCAAGGACACAAGAATTAGAATAGGGTGAGTTATTAGACAATATTGTCTAAATACCTGTATGGGTGGGTTTCATTTTCCCATCCTTAATATCTTGCTGGTACTTTAGCAGTTTCGCTTCCAATGCGAATTTTCATGGCAATAGAAGCATTCAGCCTCTTTTAGGTCAAAATAAAAAGTGACTAAACCTCTCTTGGTTCCACTTGAGGAGGAGCCGTCAAGGGTCTACCCTTCGTACCCTTCTGAGGGTTCTTCCTCATTTTCCATCTACGTTTCTTGATTATCAAGACAGGGGCGGGGTTTGGAGTAGGAGTTGGAGTGGTAACAACCGAATTACCTTTAAGACAAGTTTCAGCGGTCTTTAGAAGTCCTTGAAGTTTTTTGATGGTAACTTCCTCCTTGTTCATGTGGTATGTCATGCGAAATTGATCATAAAACGAGGGTAAGGAGTGCAAAATGATATCTATTGCCAACTCCTTAGGGAAGTTCACATTAAGTTTCAACAACCAGTCCACATACCTTTTCATTTTCTGCAAGTGGCCGATGATGGGTTCACCATCCTTCATTCAGGTGGTTATCATGGAGCAGATAATGTCATACCTCTCTTGTCGAGCACTCTGATGGTAGTGGTCCATCAAGTCCTACTGCATTTCAAAAGGGTAATAGTCCTCATAGGACTTTTGGAGTTCGGTTGTCATAGTAGCCATCATGACACATGCCACTTTGGTGGCATCTCTTTCATGATCCTGAAAGTCAGTGATCTGCTGAGGGGTAGCAATGGACTCATCAATTTCCTTCAGCTCCTTATTAAGGACATATTCCTTGTCCTCGTAGCGAATGACCATCCTAATGTTCCGGATCCAGTCCATAAAGTTGGAACCATCAAAGATGAATGTCCCATAAAGGTGTTGGATTTTGAGCATTCTATCACTCCTAAGTGTACAAGCAACCCTAAATACCTTGGATCTATGTTTTCTCTATTATACATGCAACTATGAATATTCCAAGGTATTACCCTATCTAGCATACAATATTTTAATACTTGGGTAATATAACAAGTTAGAATACATACCTCTTGATGTGACTTGACTCCATGAAGCTCGAGACTAGTGCCCCAAGTGTGACACCTCAAATTGTTCACATAATATCATCAACATTTGGAATAACCATGAGAAGAAGACACTTGATGCTCAAATCGACTAGCTCTCATATATATATATATATATATATATATATATATATATATATATATATATATATATATATATGTATCACTAGTGCCAGTTTCTTGAACTAAAGGGGTCTTTATATAGTGTGGCTATTAGGTGTACACAATGTAACTCATGACTTTACCCATTCCTTATGCTCCATGGGTTTTAACCTCCATGGAGTATCCATGGGTCACCACATGGATTAAACCCAACATAAGGAATCTTGGATCATCAGCCCACATATATAAGAATTAATGATTTACATAATCAA